GTGCAATCGGTAAGTACCAAGACAAGTTTAAAAACCAAAATCATGATTAGTTTTTACAACTTAGACTGTGATGACATCGCGAGTTGCAAAGGATTTTTCTTGCAGGCACATCGATTTGTTGAGCATCCCCCAGTACTTAGACAATGTTGTACCCTAACCAAATAAAAATTAGTATCAACAATAACAAAAAACACTACCTTGTTCTTCTGGCGAATAGCCACTAAAAAGTTACCTAACTCTGGCAGCCTAAAAATTGGAGAAATATTGAGGAAATCGGTGCGCCTTCATCCTATTTCGCGCCCCAAATCATTTATTGTTTTGTAGCTTATTAGCTGAGTATCTTGGGTTAAAGCCTATATAAGGTAACTGTTATTCATTTGGTTTGGTTCTCTTTCATTTTCTTTCTGCTTTCCTCTCATTGTGTGAAAGTTGTGTCCTATCATTCTTTATCGGCTATTGGAGGGAAAAGGAGTAAACTCATTTCCCCCCGTAACGTCTGTTTCGTTTCTCGTTGCAAATGTTCACTCAATAATTTCACAAAAACTTCTTAGTTACGTGCAATTTTTGTCCAGATCTCTCTCTTACGATGTTCTTGCCTTTTGTGAGACCTGGCTGACTGAAAACACTACATCTTCTATCTTAGACCCCGCCTCTAACTATTCCATAATTCGTTGTGACCGTATCTTTAATGATAACAAAGTTCGAGTGGTGGTGTTATCCTATTCATTCGCCGTTCTTATAACTTTATCCCTGTTACTAGTCAATCAGTCTCAGGTTGCGAGATAATCATTGTTGATATATTCGCTCATTCAGATTCCCCCCTCGCGTATCTTTATTGTTTATCGTCCCCCACATGTTAACAACCAGGGTTCTTTCCATCTTTTTACATTCCTTGAAGATTACTTGCTACCAAATCATCCAAATTTCCTGCTTGGCGATTTTAATTTTCCTTTAACTGTTTCTCTAGGACTTTTATCTAATTGATCGCATTTTCCACATTTAGAAAACTTCCTGTCAGCCAACAGCTTAGAAATTTTAAACAAATTCCCTACTTTCAGGAAAAGTTCGCATATTTTAGACCTAGTTTTAACTGATTCTCCTCATTTAATTTCAGCTATTTCACCATGTCCTCCCATTGGTGGTGCCGTCTATGTCTTTTAATTTAATTTGTCTTTTCGTCGTCTATGTCTTTTAATTTAATTCTGCATCATTTTACCTCTCTAAAAGGACCGGATGATGGTAACCGTGCCTTTTGGAGAGGTAATTTCGGTGCTGTCTGTCTTTCTTTAGCGCTCTTCAATGCAAGGTTTCTTCCCCGATTAGAGATGGACATCAAGGAGTGTTATGCTGACTTCTTTGAAGAGATGAAATCGCTGTTGGACGAAAATGTACCTATTTCAACCAGGTTTACCTTTTCTTATCCCAGTCACATATCTCGAGCTAGGCAAAGGTTAGAAACAGCTTGGCGTTATCGCGATTCCCCCATTACGCATATCTAGAAAACAAGCTAACTAAGTTTGTCAAGAATATTGAGGCCAATATTGAACGGAAATCCGTTTTTAGTCCTAGTCCCAAGGCTTTTTGCTCATACGTCTATTCTAAGATTAACCCAAACCACGATTCCTCTATTAAATGTATATTTGACCCCCTTCGCAACTCGTTGATTTTCGAAAATCACAAAATTGCTAATTCCTTTGCTCAATATTTCTCCAGCGTTTTTGTAGTTGACGATGCTAGTTGCATCCCTGTTCTTCCCGCCCCAGCACATACTTGCGCAGCCCTAATCGTCACACCAAGACTTGTCGAAACAGCAATTGGTAAGCTTAGCAATAAGATTTCTTACACCCCAGACGGAATTCCCTCTTTTGTTATACGGAAAACTAAGTTTCAAATATCACCACTACTTGCTAAACTTTTTAATCTGTCACTTCTAACGGCTAAGATCCCTAAACTTTGGAAAGACTCAACAATTTCGCCACTTTTTAAGAAAAGAGAGCGGAACGCGCTTGCAAATTATAGACCCATCGCGCTCACCTCCTCTATTTGTAAAGTCTTAGAAATAATTATTCGCGACCACATTATTCATGATCTAAATGAACATAATCCAATTGATAAAAATCAATTCGGCTTTCTTAAAAACCCCTCTACCTCCGACCAGCTAGCTCTTGTGCGCATGACTGGCTTCTAGCTAAAGCCAAAAACGATCAAACTAGCTGCGTTTTCATTGATTTTTCCAAAGCATTCGATCCTGTTAATCATAGATTTTTAATCGCCAAACTAAATTCACTAGGTCTTCCCATATCCATCACTAATTGGATTGCAAATTGGCTTACCGAAAGGACTTTTCGCGTCCGCTTAGGCTCTACCTTTTCGAATGACTTCCCCATTAGTAGCGGAGTGCCCCAAGGGAGCGTTCTTGGTCCTCTTCTTTTCCTTATCTATATTAATGACATTAACAGTTCGACCTCCCTAGGCACAAAAGTCCGACTCTACGCCGATGACCTTAAAATTTATAGGGTACTTCGTCCCAGAGCCCCATCCCTGATTTTACTCTTCTCCAGAAGGATCTTGATGCGATCCTACTGGGGAGTAAATTGAAACTTAACATTGTATCGGACAAATGTAGACACGTTACATTTGGTTCATTACATATCCCTTTAAAATTGGGGGGGACCTACAATTACCACAAGGATTGGTCGATGATCCTGTAAAAGATCTTGGTATACTGTTAGTTCCCTCTCTAAAATTTGATCCTCACATAAACTACATTTCCAAAAAAGCTTCTAGAATTTCTAACATAATTCTTCGCGCCATTTGTTTCCCTAAAATCGCGACTTATCGCAAGGCTTTTATAACCTATTGCCGACCTTTGCTCGAGTATGCCACCATCGTATGGTCACCTTCCATTAAGAAACTTATCACCTTGGTTGAAAATGTCCAACGGCGTTTCACTAAAAAAGCATACACTCGTTGTTTTCCTTCTTCTCTTATTCCAAATTATGAGACTAGACTTATAGTTTTAGATTTAAAACCCCTTTTATATCGCCGTATTTACTTTGATCTTATTTTTTGCTATAAAATTCTCTTCCACCCTAAGTCGCATCCTAAGTTTCAAAGCCTCTTGAAAATTGTAGAAATTTATAGAAGTTCACGTAGTCATCCTTATCAAATTTCGGTCGGTTCTCATCCCCATCATCTTTCCCTTTATCATTCTTTTGCGAACCGTATTAGTAGGGTTTGGAATAAGCTCCCGTCTGGTATCTTCTCGTCTGTAGGAAAATAGTATCTGTAAGTATCTGTAAACGAATTAGATCTTATTGCCATGTCAAATCTGCCCTATATTTAATCTGATTTTTGTATCTGTGTTTCCTAACTGTACTCTTAATGTACTATCTTTGGTTTTCTCTCTTTTTTTGTTGAAAGTATTGTAGCAATATGTTATATGCAGCTATGATTATCTGATTCGCTTCTATTCGCCCATAAATAAAAACAGCCTATTCTGGTGCGACTTTTCAGAAAAATTTGTGGTCTTTATTTGTGATAACCCGTGATCTTGATTTTTAGATTATCTTCTACAGATCGTTTAAGCCAGCTTTTTCTTTCTGTAATGCAAGCTAAACCTTACTCCCAAATGATTTAAACCTTACATTTTTTTCGTGTTGACTATGGTGTAAAAGTAAACGAAATTCTTCTAGAAAATGACCTGGTGTTGGCGTCCAGAACGCATCGTCGATCGCGAGCCCCTTCCCACCGACTATCGATGTTGTTTTGGATGTTGCACATCAAAGGTTACAAATTTGCATTCATCAAATTATAGAACAAAGATCCCACTTTTTAAAGCAGCAAAAATAAACTTTATGGTTTTAGAGCGTATTCACTTTCATCACCCTTGTCAATCTGGCCATTGTTGCTTTGATCGGTTTGCTACTTCTACCCTTTTTGCTCTTGGGTGGTCCAATTGTATGGGTGAGTTATAAATCCTTTAGGCTTGCCTATTCTTAGAGTAACTCTTAGATAGGTTCAATAATGGAGAAGTGACAAAAAGCAAAGCACTAGATTTCTCATATTAGGCTTCCAGAAAGTCTTTTCTTTCCTTTTCGTACTTCCGTTTAAAGCCAACAAATGCACCAATCGAACTACGGCTTTTTCATTAGAAAGGCAAATTTTTTTTTCTGCAAAATAACATTAAAACGAGTTTAAAATGTCTGAATTTCTTTGGGAGCATGAAGCCGGGTAGTCAAAAAGGGCGACGGCTCGATGATGCTATTTAGAAATTTACCTAAGGAAATCTATCTTCCTGTCAATAGATAAAAGATAGAGTACAAAAAGATAGGTATCTGACCAAATTTTCAGAGAAATTCATTCAGCCAATTTCTTCGTAGAGTTTTTTATAGATTTTTACGAAAAACACGTTTTTAGATAGTCGAAAACGCGGTTTTCGTAAAAAGCTATAAAAGCTTCTACGAAGAAATTGACTGAATGAATTTCTCTGAAAACTTGGCTATGTACATAACTTTTTGAGCTCTATCTTTTATCTATTGACGCAAAGATAGGTTTGCTTCGAATTTGCTTGAAATTGAACCCAAATTAACTTAAAAAGATATTGAATTGAACAATAAACAGTTTTCATTCAGAGCAAACCATAGGTTAATTAATGAATTTGCTATGAAAAAGAACGAAAAGACTTTCTGGACAGCCTAATAGTTTTGTTCGATGTAAAGTTTCCAAGCAAGAAAAAATTGTTAAATTTCAATTAAATTATAGCTCATCTCCGCCATCCCAATCGCTCTGATATTTTTGTGTTTGTATCCTTCCGTGCAAGCCATTCGAACCGGGAAACCAGTCTACATGCAAATCGTTTGGATTACAAATGTAGATTTTAAAAAGTCAAAATCAATATTTCGCAATAATGCGTCGAAGCGAGTACCTAATTATAGTTGATCTTCACTTCTCTCGACTTTTTGTTCTTGATCGTCCTGGCGATCGCTTCTCTGATTACAATGAGGTAAATCTTGAATAAGATTTGAATAGTAAGTAAGAGAGATGCTTGTTACTATTTTTAATCTAATTTGCAATTATTTTAATGCAATCTAAAAACTTCAGCACTGCGACAGATGATCGAGAAAGAAAGGAAGCCGCCACCCTTTTCGCCAGTAAGCTTTCTCAATGTTTGGTTTGTTTGGCTTGTTTTGATTAAAGCACTAGTCATAAAATGAGAACAATATGAGAACAATACTTAACAATAAGCTTATTAAGGAGTGATTATCCGAGTTGTGTTCGATCTCTTGTGGACTATCTGGGGTCTCTGTCTGATCTACTCGTTCTACTCATATCTCAGGTTTGGACTGAAAAATAGATTAAAACGACACCGCCTAAGCAGATTAACCTCAATCGATTAACTTCTAGGGATCGCCAGTTGTGGTTGGAGGGTCGTGAAACCTGCATGCCAAAAGTGCCCCATCCACATGATATGGAAAGTGCTCCAATGTATGAGCCTTAAAGAAAGGACGAATGCCATAATAGGTTATCATTTTTCAATTGTATTATACTTGTGAATTGCTTTTGCTTGCCGGTTTTTCTGTGATATTCTCTGATGTTACTTATGGTCTATGTATCTAACAGCTTGTACTTCAACGGTTAAACACAAGCTTGCTGTGTGGCAACTGTTGTTCATTTGGTTCGGTTATCTTTCATTTTCTTTCTGCTTTCCTCTCATTGTGTGAAAGTTGTGTCCTAATTAGGACGAAATTGTTTCTGTTTTTTATCGTCGCTTTTAATTCAATTGTCGATCTTGTGTGAAAATTGCTCAAGTGAGAGCCCAAAGATTCCGAGTCAGTCGGCTATTGAATAAAGTGTTTTTAGTTCAAGTGAGATCAGATATCTCGAAACAAGAAATAACGTGTCTTGAGTGAAGAGTACCAAGCATGCGAACAATATTTCTGTACAGTTTTCACCAGTGGCTGCCCGGAAGGAAGTGACCGTATTGAGGATCGAATCAAATGTAACAAACGTAGTTTCACAAATTATTGAAACTATTCAATATTGGGCGTCCGATATTGAATAGATTCAAAAACGAATGTCCGGTTCTGAATCGGACGAAATTCAATAACGGGCATAACATATATAATAAACCTTAAGCCGTAAACCGAAAACGCACCAAATTGTCTGTATATCTTTTATTCACAAAAACAATAGTGACTTTGAATCTTTCAAACGAATTTTTATATCTCAAGGACACGGAGACCTCGCAAATCATAAAAATCATAAAAAGTCAAAAATTTCGGCAAATCGGCAAGGAACCGAAAAATTTCGACGCAAAAAGTGCAGAGAAAACTCTTTTGTAAACTGGTATAAGAAGTCAGCTGGAAACACAAAAACAGATTTGATTTCGAAACCATAACTATATCTTGGATAATTTGCTGATTATGGTAGTCATCTTTGTTGAAGTTTGGCTCCCATTCTAGAAGCTTGGCTTCTACTCGCCTATGGGGTTTAGTAATTTGATGTTTGTTTGTCTTCAAGCCAATTCTTAGAGTTCAACCACCGAGAACTTAAATGTAAACCAAAATTTAAATAAGATCGTTCACTAAGTATTTGAACAACTTTACAAGCTCCACCAATCGAATCACTCAATCAACTCAACCCTCGTAGTTTCTTTCATTGCACCAGATTCTTGATCCGAAATGATTTATCGTAATATCTTCTTCTCACATGGTCTCATTCATTTCTACTTATCATTTCCTCCTTCCTCCTTACAAAAAACGCTATAAATGGTGAAAAAAGTGAACTGGTTTTGAAAATCGCCATTCTTTTAAAGCGTCTCCCCGAGAGACAACTCTTAAACATTTTGTGATTTCGTTTCTCTATCGATTCTATTTGAAAAATAAAATTTCCAAAAGTAGGCCTAGAAATGAATGGTTGGTGGTGGCATCCAAAGAAAAGAGTTACAACTCATCCATCAGAAGAGGATTACCGATGTTGCTGCGGATGTTGCACATCGAAGGTAAAATAAATTAATGTAAAAAGCAGATTTCGTAGAGAACAATGTCAAAATAGATCAAAAATTTGAAATTCAGTGTGGCTTCATCTTCTTCACTGTTGTTGCAATTCTTTGGTATGCCACTTTTGGAATCATCTACAGTTTGGTCATGCTGGTGTCGGGTCCTATTGGATGGGTAAAAAGCAAATATCATATTTATTAGATCACTTATTTATATTCAGATCAAAATGGCGTGCTCAATTTGTTTGGTTGTGTGTGGTATTTTGGCGATTGTCAAACAACAACCCATCTACATGCAAATCTACTGGGTTGTCTCGGTGAGTTAGTTATGGTGAACAGTAATCAGTAATCAGTAACAGTAACAACAGTAATCAGCAAGGCTGTTTCAACAAGTCAACCCCAAGGCAGCCAAGTCAAGACCAGATGAAAACCTAACAATTGGCTTTGCTTGGCCTTGATTTTGCCTGAAACTAGAACTAGAAATGTTGTAAGCTTTGTAAGCTTACAGTGCTTTTAATGATACCTTTAAGTGGGTAGCAAATGGAATCGTGCTTGTCATCAATCTCATCTATCTTGCCATTCTTGCGTATCAAGCAAAGTTTGTTTTAATTTCATTTGAAAGCTTCAATCTTCCAAATCTTTTAGTGATGCCGCCAACAAGCATATGAGTGATGAGTTCCAAACAAAGGCTTGGAGCATGTTCTTCGGTGAGTGAACTTTGTATAGAGCTGTTAGGCTAATATTTTGATCTTCATTACCATTTTCAGCACAAATCTTCGGAATCGTCATCCAAATAGCAGTGGCCGCGTGGATGTTGTGCATCACTTGGTCATATTACTCATATTTGAGGCAAGTTTTGTGTTTGAATAACTAGATGATTTTGTTCTATGTCGAAAATTCCAGAGATCGAAAACTCTACGAAGAGCAACAAGGCCAACAAGTCAATCCAAATGTCGTCGTCTACAAAACCCCCGCATCCAACAACTACCCAACTCATAAACAGTAAAAAAAAATGATTCAAATCATCTTTCTATCATCATTCTATTCGATTCAAATCATAATCTCTTCACTTTCCATCAACCCTGAACTAAAGTTTATTTTGAAAGCAAAGAAAATCAAATTCATAATAAATTGTTAACTTTCTTTAGAAGTTTTTTCTCAAAGCAAGAAGGTAAAGATCACAAGAAAGTACAGATTACCGTTTAAACATTCAGAAACATTTCTTTATTAGGCTCTCCAGAAGGTCTTTTCTTTCCTTTTCGTACTTGCGTTGAAAAACAACAAATTCACCAATTAACCTATGGTTTGCTCTAAATAAAAAGTGTTTATTGTTCAATTTCCAATCTTTTAAAGACAATTTGGGTTCACTTTCAAGCAAATTCGAGAGTGAAAACGCGTTTTTCGTAAAAACCTCTACGAAGAAATTGGCTGAATCAATTTCTCTGAAAATTTGGCTATTGTGCAGGAAAGTAGCTCTTTTCTGTGAAATTGTATTTAATGTTTTCATTTTGAATATCTCAAATTCTCCTGTCCTTCCTCTAAAGATCGTTTTGTGTGATAAAGGGACGGAGGTCACTTTGTATTGCTTTTCTTTGACTTTGGAACCCTGAACCAACGATTGATTCTATTGGGTTGGTGAATTGAAAACTGCGGGACTTTGAACTAAAATTTATTCAACATAAAACCATCAATTCATTCCAAATAATTGCCATTATTATTGACGATTTCTGCCCATTTTACAGGCAATTTGCGGATTCCTCTTTCGTAGTAGGATTTTGGTTTTGAATCGAAAAACTTCCAAAGCCAATTTTTGACTGCTTCTTCTGAATCGAAGTGTTCTCCCGCATTACTCATGATCCGGAATAAATAGTAATCAAAAGGGGCGTGGTCCGGACTGTATGGGGAATGCGCCCAAAAGCTTCCAAACAAGGCTATTTATTTTAAAGCGAATCAGTTTTGCAACATGAGGGCGCGCTTTGTCGTGGATGAGAACGATCTTTGACTTGGAGGGCCTATTCTTCTTCAGGGGTTCATTCACCTTTCCCAACTGTTCACTGTATTGGGTTGGTGAATTGAAAACTGCCGGACTTTGTACTCAAATTTATCCAACATAAAACCATGAATTCACTCCAAATAATTTCGATTATTATTGACGACTTCTGCCCATTTTACAAGCAATTTGCGGATTCCTCTTTTGTAGTAGGATTTTGGTTTGTGTGTGAGACAAGTGTGAGACTCAAAAATGGAGGACTAGAGATGTCCCAGTTTGAGCACTTTCTTCAAAAGAAACTCATTTTGGTGTCAATAGAAAAGTTGTAGAGAATCAAAAATTAGGCTTGTAGCCAAATTTCCAAAAAAAAGATACACTTAGTAGTTTCGCTTAAAATGCAGGTTTTGTGAAAATTCGTAAATTTGGCATTTCTTGAAAACAGTTTTTGAATGGTTCTGAAAATTTGGATATAAGCTTGATTTTTGATTCTCTACAAGTCTTCCATTGACACCAAAATGGGTTTCTTTTGAAGAAAGTGCTCAAACTGTCACATATGACAATAGCCCGCATTTTTCAATTCACCAATCCAATATTTATTATATTTTCTCGCTAGATTAGTAATTGTGCTATATTCCGAACAAATATCCAAATAATGATTGCCCCATCGGTACCCTCTCACGCACTGCACAGCTATATACCAAACTACTTTTTGTGCTCTATCTTTTATCTATTGACACGAAGATAGGTTTCCCTAGCTAAAGTGTCTAAACATCATCGAGCCGTCTCCCTTTTTGACTACCCGACTTCATGCTCCCAAAGAAATTCAGACATAAGACGTTTTAAACTCTTTTTAATGTTATTCTGCAGAAAAATAACTGACCTTTCTAATGAAACAAACCGTAGTTCGATTGGTGCATTTGTTGGCTTTAAATGAAAGGAAAGAAAAGACTTTCTGAAAAGCTTAATAATTTAAAAGACAAACACCCTTCTTATGTTTTTGTAAAAGATCTTGACGAAAAAAATGGGTTTTTGCCCATTTTGAAGGCCATTCTTTATCGGCTATTGAAGGGAAAAGGAGTAAACGAAAGAAAGAAAGACGTAAGAAAAGAAAGAAAAAAAGATCGGCCATCTTCACAAAAAAACGAGAGGAAACGCGGAAAAACTCATATGATCGACAAAACGGATTTATCTTTTTGATAAAAGTTCGGATTTTTCCAGTTTTTTGACTACTTTTTTTTACCAATTGCTTGCTTTTTTTGTTTTGACGAAATCTTGTTCAGTTAGAAATGCCGACTTGGTTCTGGCACCCGAAGAAAGAGGTCAATGCATGTCCGTCAGAAGGGGATTATCGATGTTGTTGCGGTTGTTGCACATCAAAAGTATATCGCGCTCAATCTTTAAGAATACATTTAAGAGCCTTAAGAAGAATAAAAACCTTTCTTTAGTGTGGCTTCACTTTTATGACGATCGCTTCCCTTATCTTGTATGGTTTGGTTGGCTTATTTTTGACTCTCGTCTACTTGGCGGCCGGACCGATCGGATGGGTTTGTGTTTAGGCAAATTTATATAAAAAACAGTCAAGCTTATGATCCCTGAATGGAAAGTCTGATTTTAAGGCTAACACTGTCTGACTAACAATAACCTGACTTCAAAGAAGCCTGGCTTTTCAGATGCTATTGGGTGCGACGGTAACAATGATGTTCTGTGCTCTGATGGCCATTTGTCAACCGAAACCGGCTTGGATGCAAATTTATTGGGTCGTATCGGTAAGCTTCATTTGACCGAATGATAAAAAATGAAAACATTAGGCAAATACTCACGAATTTAGCTACCGATGACAGTTTTTCTTCTTCTAATCTACCTCATTCAAGCCATCATTTTTACACTTCAGTACATGTACGTTTCACAAAGCTTCTGAATGAAGCTCGTCAAATTTTAGTCAAGCCACAAGCCGAAATCTTCCACAAGATAAACAAACTGAGGCCCTGGATGCGCTCATTGGTGAGTTCCAATCACAAAATATCGACTTTTTATTCAGGCAGCATCGTGAGCTTAATTCTCTTGGCTGTGATTTCCGTTTGGGCTCTGCGTCTCACTTGGTCATACTATTGTTATCTCAGGTAAGCTGTTATTAAGATTATGTAAACTTTTTGATAGTGAAAGCTTAAGACCGAGCTTTCCAATAACCACCAAATCCATTCAGAGACAAGCAACTTTATGATGAACAACACGGTAATGGCAATGTGAATGTCGTCGTTTACAACAATCAGCAACAGCCACAGCAAGGGAAATTCTAAGAAATTCCTTTTTATCATTTCATATTTTTTTTGCATTTGATTGATTTATTGATAAACTTTTTAAGAATTTGAAGTAAATGATGATTTCCTATCATCGTCATATGATGATTTCCCTTATCATCGTCAAGGTCGTCAAAATAATTTGAAAAGGAGAAATCCAGGAAATGAAATTTTGATTGTATAAGGCAAAGGATAAGGCTTACTCTTTGGGAGAGTTTAATTACAATTAGTTGACAAAAAGCTTCTTATTAAAGAAAGATGAATAGTCAAAAAGGTTTTCTCGATAAATCTTTATTGATCAAAACATTTTTTTAACTTGAACTTTAGTTCTTCTTTTTTTCTTTTTCTCAAAATGCTTTCAAGGTCGTTTGACTGTTCCGGGAAACGGGAGAAGAGAGCCCAAATCGGCCAGTTTGTCGTTCGTTTTGGGGAAAAACATTTTGCCATTAATCTTATTGAATCCACCTCAATATTTGGGACTTTTCTTTCAGTTTTGATTCATTTATTGCAACTTTGGCTCTACAAACAAATTAAAGATAAAGAATTAAGATAAAGATGGAAGAAACTCGTCCCACAAAGGAACCAATGGAGAATGATTATCGTTGTTGCTGTGGATCGATGTCAGCAAAAGTTTGTGACTTGGAAGGCTTTTGAGTTCTATAAAATTACGAAAAACCAAAGTCCACACTGCAAACTCTTCAATATCAATACCGAATTCAGGTCGGGTTCATCATATTGACAATTTTGAGTCAATCCGGTGTTTGGTTGACAATATTCCTTTTCGGATTCTTGCTCGTAATCTACGGCTTCACCGCTTTATTCACTTTACCGTTTCTTGGGGTGAGTGGCACAGTTAACTCCCTCCTGAGTAAGGAGATCAAGTGCGTTGTGATAGCACAGTTGCCCGGTTAGCACAGTTGGAATGGATCGCACAGTTGCCCGGTTAGCAAAAGGTCGCCGGTTCGAGCGGCGCACAAGTTTTTGATCTACAAATTTATATTTAATTGATTACTAGTTTTACATTTCAGCCTCTCGGAATCCTTGCCATAATCCCGGTTCTTCTCTGCCTTTTAATCCCAGCTGGATATGTTGCTCAATTTGTCTACTTCTGCCTATCGATTTGTCAACCAAAAGCCCAGTATATGAAGGTTTTTGGGGTATTATCTGTGAGTTCAAGAAACTTTGATTATACAGTCATTGTATATCAGCCTACTTTATCCCAACAATATTTTTGAGGTTGTTCTCAATGGTCTCACCGTTCTTGCCATGCTTGTTGCCGGTATCATCGGTTTTGTTGTTTTGATGTGGGTTTAGTTAGACAAATTAGAAGAAAATCCTTCAGGGAAAAACTGCACAACGATAGCTATACGGACGAGGAGTACCACAAACATGTTGGTGGCCTAATTAGTATGTTTATCAGTAAACTCATCTGTGTACATTCTATATTTAGGCCTTTTACTTACCATCATTCTTACAATTCTTTGGATGACTTGGTGGTTACGTGTTAGCCATCAATATTACACCTACTTGAAGTGAGTTTCTGAAGTCGCTACGGTCTAGAGAAGGCTCTGAACTAAAGAAGGCTCTGATTCTCTGAACAGAAAACTTAAAACCTTAATCTTCTCTATACAATCATGCGGGTTTTTCGACTGGTAAGATACATATTTCAATTTAGAAATCACGAGCGCTATCTAGCAGAAAACCCACCACCGCAGTACAACTTTGCTCCACAGAATCCTCCTCAAATGGGTGCTTATCCACAACAACCAAGTGGCGTTTACCCACAACAACCCTCAGCCTTTCAATCAGCTCAAAATCCACAATACGTTTACCCGACAATTTCAGCTCAACCACCTCCATACGGACTTATAACAAAAGAAACATAAATGCTAAACATAAATAAACATATTCTGCTCAATAAACTCTCAATATTCACTTTAAAGCACATAACGATCAATTCTTATTACTTAAAAAAAGAAGAACGAGTTTTAGCACCGATACGTCAGCACGTTTGATTGGGTTTTCTATCAAAAAAGCCTTTGCTAAAACGAAGAAAAGGAAACGACCCAAAAGTTGCACCAGAAAATCTGAAAATTCGTAAAATTAGTATACAAGAAAATAGGCTGGACAGATCGATGTGAAAATTTGACTATATAGCTAACTTTTTGTGCTCTATCTCTTATTTGTTGACACCAAAATAGGTTTGCTTCGAACTGGCTTGAAAGTGAACCCAAATTGACTTAAAAAAGATGGGAGATTGAACAAATAACACTTTTTATCTAGGGCAAACCTTGCAAATCAGCAAGATAATTAGGTTAATTAATGAATTTGTTGTTTTTTAACGTAAGAAAAGGAACGAAATGACTTTCTGAATAGCCTAATAGTTTTGTTTGATGTAAAGATTACAAAAAAAACTTTACAAATCGTTTGATCTTCAAGTTGTCATTTTTGACTACTTTTCTTTTCGCCTCCCCCAAACCCCAAAAACAAAAGATTTTCAGAAACTCCAAAAAGCAATTTTGTCGAGAATTAATAAAGCTTTCCGATAGAACAAACCGCAGATCACTTCTAAATTAGAGAGTTTTAGACAGAGCCATGGCAAGTATCGACAATTCATACTTACATTCGCAATAATATTTTTCTTATTGTGTAGTAAAGTTTATTAATAAACTAAAGTGCAAGATTTTTAATAGGTTATTCTTAATAGTCTCATCATTATTTCCATGATTCACGTTGACATCATCAGTCCCGTAAGAGTTTATAGTATCTTTAGGATAATATTAGGTTGGAAAGAAAGTTCTCGGAAAAAGTTTGTACTGTAAGTTTTCAAAAACTAGAAAACAAACTTATTCAAGGTATGCCCCATTATTAAGTATAACTTGTTGCCATTTATTTGGTAGAGCACGGATTTCCGTCTCCCAGAAATTCTTTGGCTGGCTGTCAAAAAAGTAGCATAGCCAGGTTTTGACCTCAGCTCGGTCTCCGAAGTGCTCTCCATCGAGTTCTGCAGCCAGCTTCCGGAATAGATGAAAATCAAAAGGGGCAAGATCCGGGCTGTTCGGTGGATGAGGGAGAACTTCCCAGCCTAACTCCTTTCATTTTTCTTGTGTCAGCTTTGCAACATGAGGTCTCGCGTTATCGTGTTGAAGGAGGACTTTTCCCTTGTTTGATCTTGTTTTTTGATTTCTTCGGCGAGTTGGTCTAAGTTGATTTGTATAAAGTAAAGCGGTAACTGTTTTCTTTTCAGGCAGCAACTCCCAGTATATAGGTCCTTCGAGATCCCACCAAATACTCAACATGATCTTCTTCTGGTGGAGTTCGGATTTGGGTTCAGGTTTTGGTTTTTCTCCAGGCCTGAGCCTGAGCAATGGTGCTTGTGTCTCCGATAGTTGACATACAGCACCCACTTTTCATTCCCAGTCGCCACATGTGACAAAAAAGAATATCGGTTGTATCTTGAGAGAAGGGCAGATGAGACTGAAAGGCGCTGCCATCTCATCACGTCTGTCAGAGTGTGGGGAATCCAGAAGCCAAATTTGTTAGCATATCCCATTGAGTGAAGATGCGCTTGAGCTGTTGTATGAGAGGTTGAAAGCTGCTCTCCCAATTCCCGGGTAGACAGTTTGTTATCGTTTTGTAAGAGAGCGGCAAGAGCTGTTTCATCGAAGTCCGTCGGGCAGCCTGAACGCGGTGCATCTTCCATGGAAAAGTCTCCTCTTTTGAAACGATCGTACCATTTATAAACTGTCGATAAACTTATTGAACCATAAATAGTATTGATTTCCTCAAGAACTTCTTTAGCTGCAACTTTTTGCTTGAAAAAGAACAAAATGACATGCCGAAGATAACCCTCAGGAAGCTCCTGAGCAGCTCCCAAAGAAATAAAAAAATAAAGCAAGAAAATAGCAGTAGTTCGTTTGGATTTGTGTGTAGTCAATCAATGAGGCTTGATGTAAACAAGATCGCTTATCAACGACCGCGTCACTTGTTCGAGGAATTTAATAAACCAAAAGTAAAAAAAACTCCGAGGACTTTCTTTCCAACCTGATAATATCTAGAGTCATCTAAATTTAATCCAAATTCAAAGATCACGAACGCTACCTGGCAGAGAATCTACAACCACACAGCAATTTTGACCCCAATCTCTTCTCAGGGTTGCTACCCATCTCAGCCAATAAGTTGTTACCCAACACAGCAAATGTGTAGCCAAATCTTTTCGTTTCTCTATTTTTTCGTTTCCCAAATCGTTTCTCTATTTTTCATTTTGAGCTATTATATTTTAAATTCATCTCCTTGTTGGATATTTAGCATTGTTTGCTAATTTAAAAGTTGTTGAGGTTTGAACCTTTTGATTTGGTTTGAAGAGAAAATTTAACCTGTTTCTCGAGGCGAAATATTTGATAAGTAGTCTCAACGTTTTCTCACGAGTATATTAAAGGCGCACTACATACCAACTTATCAAAAAAATCTGAGCAGCTCAAACCGAATAATTCTTTTAATGTAGACGATACATTTTTACAGAAAGCCGCTTTTCTCGGGTCAGATTGGGCTCTGAAAATGAATTCAAAATGTTCAACCAGTTCGGGTCATTCAACAATTGATAGAGCAACAATTGATAGAGCTGAGTAAAGAAAAATTGAGCTCATCGAATAACACTTCGACTTCATTTGGAAGTGACTCAAGACAGAATAAAGAGCTGCGAGACTGTTGATATTGACTAGAAATTCCACGAATTACTAACAAATTCACAGCTCTCACGAAGTCGTCCACAGAATACAAATTCCCTAAAACATATTTATGAGTGGCGCTGTCCAGATAGCTGTAGCTGTTAACTAGAATGATTAAAATGGATGATAGAGCAACCTTTTGTGTGTGGCTTAAGTCATTCCACGAACTTCTCGTGTTCCGATTTTGTGTAACCCAAGGAAAAAGTTGTTACAGAAATGCAAGAATTCACATTTAGACATTGGAGAATCGATCTATTAGAGGAAGGATTTCATTGAGCTCTCCACGTATCCTTAATCTTTAGTTGTTTGCAACGAGTGTCTCTTATCGATATCCATTCCTGTCATCTTTACTCTTTTTTGGCTTGTGGAATTATTTTAAAACTGTTTATCTATTTGAATTTCGATGGTTTTTTATTGATCTGAATGTTTGATTGAAGAGAATTCTTTTGTGGATGCTTTTGAATATATTCTTTTGTGGATGTTCGATCGACATCGATTCGTTTTCGTTTTCGTTTTCGTAGAACTTTGTTGACTTGTAAAAGCTTAAACCTTTCGTCGATATCCACAAAGCTGAGTACCGATTTTCGACGTTTGTGATAGTTGCAGAAAGTGGAATGGCATTCAGGGGAAAATAAATTAAACAGTTACTCGGATAACAGTTAAATTAATAACTGTTATAAATCTAAACAACATGAAAACACTCGAGCTTTGAACGTGAAATAGCACAGAGATGAGGGGTATTTAGTACAACCGCGTAACGGGACAAGTTACCAAGTTAGAATTTTATATGCTAGTAAGTTCAATTACGATAATTTGATCGAATCTCTGTACACTATTTTCGGAAAGTCTGTCTAAAGGCGGAAAATAAAGAAACATCGCCTTAAATACACAAATTGATTCAAGAAATGCTGATTTTTTCGTTTTTACTCCAGGTTTTGATCAAATTTTTTGCTTTAAATGTTTTAAATTCTTTAGAAAATTTATTTATAGCATTTGTTTGCACCCATAATCAATGTCAATTAGCTTTTCCCGCTTTGTACGATGTCCTTCCACTTGTTTTCTTGTGTTGTTTCTTCTTTGGGAATAAAACTTTGTACAATTTCTTGTACTTACCGACGATTCCATACAAAGAAGAAAACTAAAGTTTGAATTTTTCATTTTTATTTTGAAAGGTGATTTTAAAGGTGATTTTAAAGGTGATTTTAAAGCTGATCAACTTACCGCAATATCAGCAACTATTAAGCTAATGATCAAAATCTTGAAAACCATCGGCAATGAGAGAAAATAATTGTACACATTTGAGACAGCCTCCATTTTGAGGTGTACTGAAATGCTATTTGAATTTAAGCAATAAATTTTTAGAGAAAAGAAAAGCATTGAGACAATAGATATACAATTCAAATCAGTGTTAGAATATAGAAGTTTAAAGTCTTTAGCTTTTTTAGCAGGTTGTACATAGTTATGGCTGTGTATAGTGTTGTTAATTTACAAAAAAAAATGATCTTATTGAGTTAACATAAGAAAAAAACATAAGGAATGCTGAGAAAATGACCAAATCTTTGAGACAATTTGTATCAATATTGGGGTGTGGAGGGGTCGATCGAACGGGGAAAAAGGGTGAACGAAGAGAGAGAAAAGGAATACAGGTTCCCATTCCTTCAGGGGGAACAACCAAAGACAAAGAAATAACAGAAAAGGGAGAGGAATAGAGAAAAGGAAAGGAAAGAGATGGTCAAAAACTGATGAGACTGGGGCTGCTCATGAAAAGAGAGAAGAGGAAAAGAGATAAGAACTCTTTCACCGTTTCTCTCTTTTTCTTCCTTTTCTTTCCATCTTCCATTCTCGGGATGGACCGCTACGAGACACTTCTTTTTACCCGCAGACTGCAAAAGCATGAAACTTCAATCTATTGGAGGTGTGCATTGCGAAGAGATAACGATCATTGCTTTTTGATCCACGATTATCGGCCCATTTTTGGGTGATGCCAGATTCTTTCATTTGGTTCAAATGACTGAATATTTGAATGAGCAAGCTACACTGACCATTTGTTGTTGAGAGCTTATGTAAATTATTGTGTTCGTTGAGTAAAATCGATTCGCGCAACGGGACATTAGTTCAGTTGGGAACTGATAGTGAGCAAACAATCTAAACAATCTAAAACTTCTCAAATCGAAAGTATCCTCATCAATCTATAAGTAAAACTTCCAACTTTTTTCTTTGGAACTGTTTTTGCAGTGGCTGAACATCATATCTTTGAATAGGATCTTTTAGTAAAGAGATTGATGATGATGGTGTGAGTTTGGCTGAAGAGAAAGGGGTTCTTCATGAGCCATTCGATGCATTAGCGCATTTCCGGTGGCAGCTCTCACATTCAACACACTCCTCTTTGAGCTGATACACCATTTCAGCATGTGTTTGTTCAAGTAACATCAACACTTTAAGTAAAAACAAACGCGTTTTTGAATCTAAAGATAAAGGATGTGAACTGAACTGACAGAATTGAGTAGTGCATCTTCTCTCTAAACTGTCCTAAAAGCTGATGTTAAACGCTCAAAAAATTTTGAGAAATGTAGAAAAAGACTGGAAGTTTTAGTGTTCTATATTTTTTAAGCAAAATAATTTGCCCATGACTGCCTATGACTTCTAGAATGCTAGAGAAGTTTGTATAACCTTGCTCGTAACTGCTCGACACTTCATAACAACCTTGCTCAGTGTTTTGCTGGACCAGAAGAAAGGATTATTGTCTACATCATGTTTAATCTCATTCATAAAAATATGACTGACTAAATGTTACCCAAAACCACATCATCGTCTTCGAAGGGTAGACAAAATGGATGTGTCGGCATGGCAACCCATTCCACCTCAAGAAAGAGGTAAACTACGGTAGCTAGAAAGTGTCGACTCTTTTCTTTTTCCCTAAAAACCCTTTAAGTCAATTTCTCTCGCCTAGTTGATTCGTTGGGCTGCAGAGGTCCCAACTTACACAATAGCTTTACGAGAATCAAAAGTGGAGGGTCCTCCAGCTCCCCCGTCTTCCGGATTTTCGGTATTCACCGGTCCGAGCGCCGGTCTTACTACTCTCACTACGATGTATCCCGGATCATCAGGACTAGGTGAGTGCCAATTTTGTGATGTGATTGATGTGGGGTTTACTTCTTTTTATGCCCCTTGTTTCCTGTTTCCGATCGGGTCGACAATGGAGCGCCGGATGCGCGCACCGGAAGACATATTCTAGAAAGGAGAAAGGTTGAGAAGAAGACTCTATTTGGATGAAGGCTGGAGGAAGGGGTAGGGAGAACCCCCGGAAATCCAGCTTCCTTCCTGTCGGCACCATCCACCATCATGTAGTAGACCTAAATTTGGGAAACAGTTGCTTGTTTATTTGGCCTCTAAAACGTTTGTTTCCTCACCATCGAGTCGCCTAAATTTGATTGTTAGTTTTGCATGTTCATCATCATCTTCAGATCAGTTTCCTCAATAACTCCCGGAAACCCTTTAAGAGCTAGTTTCCGACTTGATTTTGTTGTGTCAAAGTCATAGCTTTCTGTAAATCAAAAAGCGATCATCGTTTCCGTATCGAGTTTCCGCTCCTAAAATCTCCTCAATTTTTTCGGCCCGTTCAGACTGGTTCTATTACTTTTATTGTAAGGTGCTTGTAAATTCTGTTCCCGTTTTACTTTAATTGATTCTGGTATTTAAACTTACCAATAGTTACTAACTGGTGAATTGAAACTGGTTGGTGAATTGAAAACTGCCGGCTATTGTCATACGTGACATTTTGAGCACTTTCTTCAAAAGAAACCCATTGGCAGCAGCTAATGGCCACATCACCTAGAAAAACTTGTACCGGGTGCTTCAGAATATAGGCGGCAAGAAGCGCTAGCCTTGTTTTTATGACATTTTCTTTGTTACGATTCCAATACGGTTCCTATTTTATTCCAATACGGCTCCAATACGATTTCAATACGTTTCCAATATGGTTCCTATTTTATTCCAATACGATTCCAATACGGTTCCTATTGGGTTGGTGAATTGAAAACTGCCGCCCATTGTCATACGTCACATTTTGAGCACTTTCTTCAAAAGAAACCCATTTTGGTGTCAATGGAAAAGTTGTAGAGAATCAAAAATCAAGCTTATATCCAAATTTTCAGAACGATTCAAAAACTGGCTTTCAAGAAGTGCCAAATTTACGAATTTTCACAAAACTTGCATTTTAAGCGAAACTACAAAGTGTATCTTTTTGGAAATTTGGCTATAAGCCTAATTTTTGATTCTCTAAATCTTTTCTATTGACACCAAAATGGGTTTCTTTTGAAGAAAGTGCTCAAACTGGGACATCTCCAGTCCTCCATTTTTGAGTCTCACACTTGTCTCACACACAAACCAAAATCCTACTACGAAAGAGGAATCCGCAAATTGCCTGTAAAATGGGCAGAAGTCGTCAATAATAATGGAAATTATTTCGAATGAATTTATGGTTTTATGTTGAATAAATTTTAGTTCAAAGTCCCGCAGTTTTCAATTCACCAACCCAATAACATTTATTTTAGGTACTTCATATCCTGTTGGTGGTTGTTGGCTTGACCCAAAGAGTGATGGAGTACAAGCGACATGTCTTCAAACACAATATGGTTTGTATTCAACGATTCATCTTTAGCTACCAACATTGATGCAATCCTTTAAGATTTTAAGCAGATTGATGTATTTTTGAAGTCAAATAACCCCAATAAATTTAAATCGTAAGTTTTGATCAGCTGAATCGACTGAAATTTTGAAGCATAAATTTGTTGTATACGCATTTTGAATAGAATTTGTTTAAAAAAATCTAGAAGTGATGCATTCATTTGTCTTTTTGGATGCTTATTTGCATGTAAAGAGTTTTTCGATTCATTGAATGAGCTTCATAGGCAAACAGCTAGTGTTAGCTTTGTGTTTTATTAACTAGGTTACACTTTCAGTTTCTTTACGAGTTCAGAAATTTTTAAAAACTTCCTCAACTCGGTAACTCTTGTTTCTTTGAGTCAAATCGTTGGCACTCTTTTCTTTTTTCTTGACGTACCTCCTGGTGAGAGTCGACCGGAAGTCGGCGTTGAGTGCTTTCGCTTATGAATGAGCAATTTCTAGACATATTTGCAAATATTGATTAGGGTTTGGACAAATTTAGAAATGAAATGAAAAAATATACAAGAAGAAGTTATACAAGTTTAAAAACTTAAAGATAAAGATAAAAAAATCGTAAGCTTTTACGGTTACAATCTGATGATCCAAAGGTTCCTGATAATCCAAAGGTTCCTGATACTCCAAAGGTTCCTGATGATGCAAAGGTTCCTGATGATCCAAAGGTTCCTGATGATCCAAAGGTTCCTGATAATCCAAAGCTTCCTGATGATCCAAAAGTACAACTTTTTACTAAAACTTGATTTTAAAATGACTGAGGAAAGCTATTCCAATAAGCTTTTTTAAAATAAAAACCTTAATAAAACGATACTTAAAACCACGAATAAAAAGCCCATATTTTGTTTGGAATTAGTCTAATTTGGAATTTGGAATTCACGCATGATTAAAAATTAAAAAGAAAGTCAATTTTGGCAGCGTGTCGTCGACCATTTGTTCGCGGCTCAAAGAGCTAACCATATAAAAAAGCTATTTTGAGCTATGAACTCTTTATTAGTGCTTTTAAGTATAATATTACTACAGTTTTTATTTTAAAAAGTTTAGCTCACTAGCTTTCCTGAGTCATTTTAAAATCAAGTTTTAGTAAAGAGTTGTACGGAAACTTTTGAATCATGGAGAATATTATAAAAGAAGTTTAAAATCTTAAAGATAAAGATAAAGAAATAAGTATAAAGGCCTAGATTTTCTAGATCAATCAGAGTGAACTCTATGAACTCTATAAAATTTAGACTTGGAGGGATTACAATACACTTCTCTTCTCACAAGACTTCCACCACAAGCGCTCGGCAGTGGACAGATACAATTGTGGCAATTTTTGTTGGAGCTTCTCGCTGAACCACATTGTAAGTCATGATGTAGAAAATTGATTAAGACATTCACTACGAGGCCGTTTTTCACAAAACCGTCGTCTGGGACGAGAGTCGAAAGAGAGACGGGACCTCTGCGCCATGTCACCCAGTCGAAAAAGGCACAAAATCTTGCGAGGGGGGCATTTTAAAAAAAAATCTAACACTGGATTTGGATTTCCCACTATCGATTTGGTATTCTCACAAATGTTCGGGTCGATCTGATGACTCAGGCTAAAGAATCGAGGGTCCCTTTGTCGTGAATGCTCGTGAATGCCTAAGCACAAGGGGGTACTTTCAATTAAACATATGAGGCAATGGATTCTGACCGTGCTTAGATTTTTGAAAACAGATAACAAACAATTAGTCATAATCTATTTAGTACTTTTTTTTGCATCAAATTATTCGCAACAAACTTTAGCATTGTTTAAAACTCATGGCTAATTGTTTGTCATCTGTCTTCAAAAGCCTAAGCACGGTCAGAATCCATTGCTTCATATGTTTAATTGAAAGTACCCACTTTGTGCTTAGGCTGAGATCATTCCTTTGTAAATACTGTAATATGGACCCCACCCCATAATGACGGTGCGGAGTGTTGTGTAGTCTAGCTTTGGATGCGTTTTTCTCGACACTGGTTTATGCTACAATGCTCGCTTAGGTATCAAAAAAATAGCCCTGAATTTCAGCTATTTTTTGATACCAAAGACGAATTTTTTGAAAGTACAGGCGCTTTGAAAAAAGTGAAATACTAAAAAAACTTTTGCGACTACGCGACTGTACGAGGGGGGTGGGGTACTATTACAGTATTTACGGTAGGTAAGTTGCCAAACTAGTTATTTCAGGCAATGGTCACTGTATATCTTGGGAGGGTGGAAATGGCGAATTCAAACTGATCGATCCGGATGAAGTGGCTCGAAAATGGGGAGAAAGAAAAAGGTAAGACAGATCAAGCATAAAAGTGACAAGAATTCATTTAGTAAGCCAAACATGAACTACGACAAATTGAGTCGAGCGCTGAGATACTATTATGACAAGAATATTATGACAAAGGTGAATTCCTTGTTAGTACACCAAAAAAAATTGAATCAAAAATTTGCAGGTGCATGGTAAACGTTATGCTTACAAATTCGATTTCAACGGATTGGCACAAGCTTGTCAGAACACGGTAATCTCGGGTGGAGGAGATCTATCATCGTTTACTCCATATCCTGCAGGTAGAGTGGTATCATTTGAATCATATATTGAATATATCGAATAGCTGCCTTTATTTTAAAGATGACTAACATTTGTTACTTTATCCAACGATAAATTTTAGCAAGTAAACTGACCACTCCAACTGGTTATCATTTGCTCCAACCGGCCGACAGGACTTTCTTTGCTCAAACAGTAAGTTTTAAGTAAAGAAGCTATTTGCTCAAGTTTAATTAACAAATTAGGCTTCTATCGACATTGTAAGTACGAAGAAATTGAGTAGTGAAGGCTAGTCTAACACCAAAAGTCCGTTTCATTCATTTTGTCCATAACTCCCTAACTGACAAGTACATTGACATTGACAAGTACAGGACATACACTACTGGACAATGAAATATCATATTTGAAAAAGATCGTCACTTTCGCGCGTCTGTAACTCCCTTGTCTTTACCGTATTTCTAAATATTAATATTACCATTGTGTAGCCCTTGAAAAGAGCTTTCAGAAAATGTATAACACTAATACTTTAAACTCAAAGACAAGGGAGTTACAGACGCGCGAAAGTGACGATCGTTTTTCAAATATGATATTTCATTGTCCAGCACTGTATATTTCTACATTGTCTATATATTCTATAATAAATTTGATAACTCAAACTTTCTAATTAAATTATTCAGCTTCCTCCTCCATACTGGCCGACACAGCCAACATACTTCGAGACCTATTACGAGCACAAAGACTCGTAATTTCTTTTTATTTACTTCCTCATTTTGACGCAAATAAACACGATTTTCGAGAAAATCCTTTAAAAGCATGTGCATTATTCTAAAATAATTCCTTCCTTGTAACAATTTCTTAGTTTTCATTGCATTTTGAGAATTACCAAAACCTCTAGTTGGCTTGTATCACAGTATTCCTTAATATTGAAAACTGCGAGACTTTGAACTAAAATTTATTCAACATAAAACTATAAATTCATTCCAAATAATTTCCATTATTATTGACGACTTCTGCCCATTTTACAGGCAATTTGCGGCTTCCTCTTTCGTAGTAGGATTTTGGTTTGTGTGTGAGACAAGTGTGAGACTCAAAAATGGAGGACTGGAGATGTCCCAGTTTGAGCACTTTCTTCAAAAGAAATCCATTTTGGTGTCAATAGAAAAGTTGTAGAGAATCAAAAATTAGGCTTATAGCCAAATTTCCAAAAGGATACACTTTGTAGTTTCGCTTAAAATGCAAGTTTTGTTTTGCGTTTTGTGAAAATTCGTAAATTTGACATTTCTTGAAAACCAGTTTTTCAATCGTTCTGAAAATTTGGATCTAAGCCTGATTTTTGATTCTCTACAGCTTTTCCATTGACACCAAAATGGGTTTCTTTTGAAGAAAGTGCTCAAACTGGGACATATGACAATACCCGGCAGTTTTCAATTCACCAACCCAATACATTCGCGACGATCTGACCCACTGGTGGTTCAGGTCAAAATTTAGTGAACCCAATGGACAGATTAAGCTGAAAATTTGTAGATGGGGGTTTTCCGGGTCGGGCAATTCGAATCCGGTATTAGTTTTTGGCTACAATAGCCCCAAGTACTCGAAATAGGAGTGCTCGTTTCGGCCATTTTGAGAAGTTCTCGCCTTCAACATTAAAGAAACTTTTTTCCTACTTGACCGATTTTGGTGCTTTTAATATCAAAAGATGCCCTGAGATCTCTGCTAATAAAAAGTGTAAAAAAAAAGAGATTGCAAAGATGTTGAAAAATAACAAAGTTATCAATTTTCTTGTGAAAATCCCGGTTATTTCGAAAAATTTTATGCAAAAAATGAAAATTTTCATGTTTACGTAATCGCGCGGCTTCTGGCACAAGGTTTTGATACATATGCACTATAAACGCGGTTTTCATCATTTTGATCACTTTCGGTTTAATTACTCAGTTTTTCTTTAGCAACATAAAATGTAGTGTTTGCGTAGGTGCACTACTGGACAATGAAATATCATATTTGAAAAAAGATCGTCACTTTCGCGCGTCAGTAACTCCCTTGTCTTTACCGTGTTTCTAAATATTAATATTACCATTGTGTAACCCTTGAAAAGAGCTTTCAGAAAATGTATTAGGTTGAGGAAAAAAATAATGTCGGTTTTGAATCCCCATTGTTGGCAATTTTCCAGTTCTTTGCTTATGCGGAAGACAGCATTAGCGAAAGACAATGCCAAAGATTGTTTCATCGATTCAAAGATGGAAATGAAAGTCTCCAAGACGAGGAACGGTCTGGACGATCAAAGGTCAACCCCCAAAACCAAAACCAACATTACTTTTTCCTCAACCTAATATAACACTAATAGTTTAAACTCAAAGACAAGGGAGTTACAGACGCGCGAAAGTGGCGATCGTTTTTCAAATATGATATTTCATTGTCCAGTACTGTATTTCGTGTAAGTATTTCGGTTCCATTCGGTTTCCATTTCCATTTCCCACCCCAGAAACCCCCGATACACGTTTTGATGATGATGCGACAACCAATCAAAATACAGATGAAAACAATAAAAAGGTCTATATTTTCTCTACAAAATAGCTTTGGAGTTACTTAGAAAAGCTTTAGTTTTGCAGTTATTCGGGGGCTCAAAGACAAGTAATCAAAATGATGATTTGACTCGGTGACGCTGAGTCGACTAGAAACTCGACCCAAACATAAGTCTTTTACATAGTTACACCTCACCAAGCCAAAACTTTTATTCTACAAGTTTGCAATGCTGCAAATGTTGAAATTGCGTCAATCTTTATTTCTTGATCGTACAATTTGTTGTTGTTGTTGTTAGAGTCCAAATGGAGTTACCTAAATCAATCCAGACGCCCATTGTACTACTAAATTACAGGGTGACCAGAAATAACGTTGCGGCCTAATTTAGCCTATTTTCTAAAAATCCAAAAAGATTTTGTAACAGGAACAATTTTATATTAACAACATGATATAAGGAGAGCATAAAATCTACTTTTCTTCAAAGTGGCCACCTTTGGCTTCGATGCGGAGCCTCAAACGCTGGATGAAGTTTTCGGCGATGGGCCGCAGCCGCAGCTCGGCCGGAGTGATTCGATCCCATTCCCTGGTCAACGATCGCTTAAGAGCCTCCAAACATTTGTGGGGTTTTGCCCAAGCCCTTGCCTCCAAAATTGACCAAACACTGTAGTCCAACGGATTGAGATCGCGCGAATACGGAGGCCATTCCTGGGCCGAGATGAAATCCGGATGATTCCGGGCCACGCGCTTCTGAATCACTTTGCGACTTCTGGAGGGGTTGACTGTTTTTTTTCTGTCTCCTGGACGATCTCCATCGTTTCCAGGCTCCTTGTATCGCTTAATCCCTTTTGAGACGAGTTGATGAGAAACACGTAGCAATCGCGCGATCGCACTCACGCATTGACCTTGACGATGAAGCTCCAGAATGGCAGATCCCTTGTTTGTCATCCGATAAAAAAATGAATTGACTTGAAACAAAGTAAAACAACAAAGAAACTAATAAAAACAATCACAGAGAATAGGTTAAAAATAAATTCGTCTTCCAAAATTGAAACTTTGAGGATTTTAGGCTGCCGAAAATCCCGCAACGTTATTTCTGGTCACCCTGTAGAACATTATTGTTGTAGGTGATGATGAAGAATAAAACATGGGATAAACTGATTCTTTTCATTTGTTGAATAGGGCTTAGTAAGTACAAAATCTTACATTACTTACCGTAAATACTGTAATAGTACCCCACCCCCATAATGACGGTGCGGAGCGTTGGGTCGTCTAGCTTTGGATTAGTTTTTCTCGACACTGGTTTATGCTACAATGCGTGCTTACGTATCAAAAAATAGCTGAAATTCAAGGCTATTTTTTGATACCAAAGACGCAATTTTTGAAAGTACGGGTGCTTTGAAAAAAATGAAATACTAAAAGTTTTGCGACTACGCGACTGTACGAGGGGCGTGGGGTACTATTACAGTATTTACGGTAGGTGCTTAATAATATTAAATTATAACAAAGCAATGATTATTTTCGTGGACAACATAGACACTTATTTCCTCAACCGCTTGCTAGTTTTTCCCGAATTCTATCAAAACCTTTATATGTTCTCTAATGCAAACCCAAACACTCCTTCCAAAAACATTGCCTCCAAAGTCCTCTCACTTCAAAGTCCTCTCACGCAATCGAGTTTTTGGCGATTAATTTTTGGAATTTCTGCAAGAAAAACTGAAACAAACAAACATCTTCACTCTTTGTCATTGATAGAAACAAGTCGATTTCTTTGAAATCGACCTTTTTTCTTACAATCTTACTGATTCGGTGAGCATATTTGCCAGACTTTTTTTTACTAAACCAATCCTTTCAATCTTCTCCTAGACATTATCAAAAATTCTTGGGATTTGTGGAACTAATCCCAGATTTTCCTCAGGCATTTTCCTCAGGTGAAAATAAGTCGGGGAGTGAAGATTATTGCACCTAAAATCCGTGATTTCAAGATTTAATTTCACCAAAAGTACTGTAGCTGGGGTTTTAAGAAAATCTGGGTTAACTATATTTGGAAAGATTAGAAATCCGAGTTAAAGATTTAAAAGATTTGTGATTTTCATCGTTTCTGTATTTTTGCAAATAACAACCACTGTTTTATTTGATGATTTTCCCTGTTTAACCAAACAAAGTTCATCACCAAGTCAACCGTGAGCATTTGAAGATCTTTTATCAAATGGACTCGATTGTTTAAGCAAAAGAAAGTCGATAATGAATGATCTCCTCTATCTTTGAGTGAACAAATCGGGTTCTTCGATGTTTCGCAAAAAAAAGCATGCAGATCGTTGCCTTGACATCGGTAGATAGAAATTATTGAGAGACTGTCAATCTTTCGATTTCGATTCTCTTTTGATAAATGTGAAAAGGAAAAGATTTTGAGTGAGTGATTGGAATAAGGAGATCTCTGAGATTAAACAATTGGAGGACTTAAATCGACTGAGCACGGAAAAAGACTGGTGTTTGGCTGATAAATGTTGAATATCTATTTAGTAAGACTATAAAACTTGAAGTCTTGAATATCTATTTAGTTTATAGACCTTAATCAAGCCATCTTCATTGATTCATTTATATCTTTGTCTAGCTCGCATTTTTCCAGAAGAACCAGTCAGAAAGAGTGATGATTTCTGTCATTCAATACCCTTGTTTATGGGGATTACGTGGTGAAAAAGCAAAAGCTCAATTGATGAACAAACCAACAGCATAGTTTACTCTCATTTCTATCAATAGTGCAAATATTTAGTTCAAAAATTGCCCAAAAGGCTAAGTATATCTAAAATGGGACAATTCAAACTACAATACTGGCTACCGTTCACTTCCTTTATCATAATTTATAGACTCTGTAAAAACTAAAGGAATCTTCTGCAAAATCCAAGGTCAAAGAGCATCGAGCATTTCATGAACACTCTCGTCCATCAAAAATTGAGATATCTCTAGCAGAACACAAAAATTTGGATGATTTTCAGAGATAAGCTTCCGGTTTTTGTTCTAGGCTTTTGACGTGCTTTTTGCCGGAATTCCGCTTGTACTAAAGGGGTAAAATTCGTTGAAATGTTTGCAAGAATCGTACGATTTAGACTTTACGGTAAAAAATTAATGACACTGGCGTTTTGTGATCGTTTTTGTTTGAACAGTGAATAATTCTTTGATTCCGATAGCCCATTTCTATGAATTTTGTGTTAGTCCCCCATTTTCATAGACTTTCAAACGTATTGAATATCGCCCAAGTGTGAACACAGTTCCCTTCCCTCAAAACGAAAAGCTAATTATATTTTGATTATTCCCAGCCGAGTACACAACCGAAAAAAACTCATAATTGTAGCCGGCAGAAAGCATAAAAGAATCGTTCTCTCAAATCGAATTCAAAGACTGAAAGCCAATTTTCCGAGAGATTGTGCAAAATTTCAGCAATGAAAAGTTGCAATTCCATAGTTTGTTGGAGAATTTTTCGAGTTGTTTATTCTTTTTCAGCACAAAAATGAAAAGAGATCAAAGTTTGGGAATGTTTGGGGAAGAAAAGAGGGGACACACTTGTACATTCTGTCGGTAAACAGACATAGACGGGTTCAATGTTCACAATTTTGAGTCGTTAATGAATGGGAGAAAGTATTTTGCTGAAAAATGTGTCCTTTCAAGAGATTTCAAGAGGTCGAGAGCACAAAAGGTTACAATTTTGAAAAGATCGGTGATTTTGTGATCATTTGGAGAGATGTTTTCGAAAATAAGAATACTAATTGCTTGAGTGGGCGAACTTTGACTCGAAAACACTTATAAATACTGTAATAGTACCCCACCCCCATAATGACGGTGCGGAGTGTTGCGTCGTCTAGCTTTGAACGAGTTTTTCTTGACACTGGTTTATGCTACAATGCTCGCTTAGGTATCAAAAAATAGCTCTGAATTTCAGCTATTTTTTGATGCCTATTGTAGCATTGTAGCATAAACCAGTGTCGAGAAAAACTCGTTCAAAGCTAGACTACGCAACACGCCGCACCGTCATTATGGAAGTGGGGTACTATTACAGTATTTACGGTATGAAATGGTGGGAATCGGTTCTAAATGTTTTAAGGATGAAGTCTTGGCTTGCAGTCTTATAAAAGTTTCATTGAGTAGTACGGTTTGAAGTTTTTGTCACTATTCTTTTTGTTTTTGTGTTTTTTTTTGTTTTTGCCTATCCCTTGTAACATAAAGGCTCAAAATTCCTCCCAAATTCTCACTCTGATAGTTTATAGTGTTTACATAGCGATCAGAAGTCAATCTCTCCTAGTTTCTGTTCTCGCAGCGCTATGTCCGAAAATCACCAAAAATTCCACCTCTGGGTGGGGCGAAAAGGTCATAAATCTGAAGTGTGATGTAAGCCTTTATCATGTTTCCAAAATTTTCAGTTTTTAGTCTGATTCTTCCATTTGTAGACAGATCAAATCATATCAAAAATTGGGAGTGAAAGTGCAATTATCACGATTCTTGAACGAAGTGATATCACGAGAGAAAGCTACAGACGATAGTTTCAAGAGATCAATTAGCTTTTTGGGTTGCTTTTCTTTTGAAAGATCACATGCTTTTCACAATTCACAGTATAAAGTTCATTGTTCTATCAGTTCTGTTCAAATTGTTTGTGCCAGTTGTACCTTCAAACATCCAGCTGCATTTTTCCACAGTTGAAGTACATTTTTAGATTCCAAAATTGTAGGGGCTTTTAATATTGATAAAAACTTACGGAACTTGCAAGATTTGCTTTCATCAGCTATGCTCATAAATGGCAGGTACATTTACAATTCTTTGTCGGTCCCCCAAAATTGGCGAGACCAAGCAAGATCAGATGGAGAAAGAGACGAGCGATCACTTTTCTTTTTCTCTTTTTTGGCTAGAGCTTGTGACTGAATAGAGAGGTTCGAGATTGGAGAGAATGGGGAAAGATTGGAGAGATAGAAGCACAAAAAAAAGGGGAATCCCCACACATGAAAAGCGGAGGGAAAGGGACAGTGAACCAAAGATCGAAGCGGGAGCTCCCACACACAAATAACCCGTCCTTCAACAACCCGAGGGGATTCTGAAGAGAGAATCGAGACAAACAGAGAACATTTACTTCTACTGAAAATATTGAAGAGATTGAACGCTTAGAACGATGAATGAACCTTTGAGTAGAAGGTTCAAGGTTTAGAAAGAGCGTCAATGAGCAAGGGATTTTGTGAAGCAAGGAATTCTTAAACGTAATGTTGTCAAAATTTATTTTTAGCTAAGAAACAAGGGTTCAGACTTTAAGAGAAACAACATTTCAATACTCTAGAAGGACAAGTCTTATGATTCTAGTGCAATCACTCATAAATTGAAAACCAGAGTCTGGCAATTGCAATTCAGACCTAACTACGAAAGCTTGCCTCTCGTGAATCATTTAAATTCATTAATCTCAAATTTTCCTACAAGCTTTTTGTCTTAGACTTAACCAGACTCTTGGCAAGCGGCTGTTTGAGATAGCACTTTGAACCTCAACCTTTTCCTCTTTCCCCTCGAGGAGCATATCCAGAGATCACGAACACCCTTTCCCCTCCTCATCCATATCCATATCCCCTTCTCTTTTCAATAGCCTTGTTGATTCCCGATGATTCTTCTGACTTTGGTCTCTTTAAGAGAAAAACCATTGAGAATGAGACGATGAAATATATGTGCTTCTCTGATCTCTCTTCTCTCTAAATTCTATTGATGTTTTCGTTTTTTTGCTGCCTCTATTTTTAGTTTATTTCGCCCAGAAAAGCTTGTTTTTGTCGAAATTGTTCGAGAAATATCTCTGTTGCACAAAAATGATCAGTAGCAAGAGTGTGAAATTCTCATATGTCTGCTTGTTGAATGGAAACACTAAGCGGTGTTGTGAATTATGCAGGCTGTGCTTTGAGTCTATAGAGAGAGCTATGAGACCAAAG